CCTATGAGCCTTAATTTTTTTAAAATATATTTTTATTTATTTTTCACAGAGAGGAAGAGAGAGGGATAGAGAGTTAGAAACATCGATGAGAGAGAGTCATTGACCAGCTGCCTCTTGCAGACCCCCCACTGGGGATGTGCCCGCAACCAAGGTACATGCCCTTGACCGGAATCGAACCCGGGACCTTTCAGTCCGCAAGCCGATGCTCTATCCACTGAGCCAAACCGGTGCCGGCAATTTTTAAAATATATATTTTTATTGATTTCAGAGAGGAGGGAGAGGGAGAGAGGTAGAAACATCGATGATGAGAGAGAATCATTGATCAGCCGCCTCCTGCACACTCCGCATGGGAGAGATCTAACTTGCAATCCAGGCATGTGTGAATTGGACCATGACCTCCTGGTTCCTAGGTTGATGCTCAACTACTGAGTTATGCCAACCAGATGAGCCTTATTTTAAAAGGAGAGGAGCACCATCTTGATCATCTTTGCAAAAATTCTTATATCATCTTTCTTCCTTTCCTTTTAGCCTCTCTCAAAGACCACCAGATGACTAAGTCATGGCTGGAACCAAGGGGCATTTTACTCAATGTTTTTACATCAATGGCTGCCTGTCTGTCAGGACTATATACAGGGGCCAAGAGAAAGAGGAAGTAAACAGTATTACTGATTAGAATTTTACTTTTTAAAAAAACATATTTTATTGATTTTTTAGAAAGAAGAAGAAAGAGGAATAGAGAGCTAGAAACATTAATCAGCTGCCTCCTGCACACTCCCTACGAGGGATGTGCCTGCAACTAAGGTACATGCCTTTGACCAGAATCAAATCTGGGACCCTACAGTCCCACCGGCTGACAATCTATCCACTGAACCAAACCGGTTAGGGCTGATTGGAATTTTAAATTATAAATATTCCTCCTGCAAGTGCTTCTTTTTCTCTTCACAAGAAATCTGGAGCAGAGAGTTACTTTAGACCAGATCTCCCGGCCTTCCCAGATAAATGCAAGGGCCTTCCCCTATCCAAGCTCCCACCTGGCATTTTCACGGCACCCCTGGAGAATACATATTTTCATTTAGCTAAGTTTGAGAATAGGGAGGTGAGAGATTTATTTAGAAATAAGGATGCAAAAGGGCAGGAAATCAGCAATGTTTGCATGTAGACTATTCTCCCTTTTTGTATAAATATTCATCCAATTCAAAACAGGCAGTTTGGTCAAGTCTTTCTTTTTCGTTATAGCCCACTCTCCCAACCCTCACCACGGAAAGACTTATAACTGAAAGTAGAGGTCACATTGGCATTGGTTGCACATGAGAATTACAGTGTGATTATTCACATGTGTAACAAACAGTCTGCGAAGAGGCAGATGCTGCCTTCCTGTAACCTTACTTAGGTTGCAAAAATAAATACATAAATAAATAAATAAATACATAAATAAAACCAACACTTCTAAGAATCCTTTACTCACCGAGATGGCTATAGACCCTATTTAAATATATTTGGGGGTCTTGTCTGGGGGTGGGATATGATACTATGCAAAAAGTTCAATTCAGTGTGTCCATCATTCTAAAATGATTTCCTGTTTAACATACTGGAGAGGAAGGATTTTGGCCACTGTTTTTCAGTCCCTTTGCTTGTGTGGTAAGACAGAAGTCACCCAGAGAAAGAGTAGGTATGAAACACTATGTACTCAAGGCTCCCTAACCTCATGAAATACTTGTCTCTCTAGGCTTCCCAGCAGGGCCAGGGCTAAAGTGAAGGGGGGTGAAGCACTCATCTTTTAGTATAAAACTTCAGGGGGTGCCAATAAGCTCAGTAATATCAGTAATATTTTAATGCAATTTTTAAAATGTTTTAAGCTTTGAGTATGTTCATGCTAAATATTTACATGTATTTTTATTTTTTAAAATATTGCATTGCCCAACTGGTGTGGCTCAGTTGGCTGAACACTGCCCCATGCACCAAGAGGTCACCAGTTCAATGCCTGGTCAGGACACATGCCTGGGTTGTGGGCTCCATCCCCTATAGGGGGCATGCAGAAGGCAGCCAATCCATCTTTCTATCTTGCTAAAAATAAATTAAAACATATTTTAAAATAATGCATTAAAGTATTGTTTATCTTGATGACTGAGTTTATTGGTACCCTTTAAACTTTGCCTCTTTGTCAAGTATCTCACTCATCTCACCTTAGCACTGGTTCTGCCTTCCCAATGCTTTTCCAGATCAAGCCCTGTCCCCTGCCAGTTGTCCTGCCACTTACCCCATGAAGGGAGGGGCAATGTTTAAGAAAAATATGATGGTGGAAGTGAGAAACAAGGAGGAAAAAGTTCTGATGTTCAGAGAAATAAAAATTAAACATCAATGAGACATCACGCTTGGGCTTTGTCAAACTGACAGATTTCTGAATATAATCTCCAGCTGGTGGGAGTGGCCAAGTAAGGCATAACTTTTTATAAGTGAACAATCTCATTCGTCTCTGAGGCTGCATTTTTAGCACTCTCTCTACCCCGCTGCCCACTCCCCAGACTGTGAATGGCTTCCAGAAATGACCTGTAAGATCCTGCCCGCCTCGGGAGTCAGAGGATCTGCCACCACCACCTTGGGACTTTTCTGATCACTTTTGCAACCTGTGTGTTGCGCTTGGTTTCCTATTGTTCCCGGGGGGGGCTGCCTCTTTCCTGGCCTTTAACCTTTTAAAGCCACAGGTAATAACCTTTTCCCAAAAAGTAATCGGGAAGTGGATTTTACATTTTGGCCCACACTCTCCAGTCCTGCCAGAGCTTAGAACGATTTCTACCAACTCCCTTCTCTTGACTTGCCATTTTGGATAAGCTGCGATTTTCTTTCTTTTCTTTCTTTCTTTCTTTTTCTTTTCTTTTTTTTTTTTTTTTTCCCATTTGCACAACCCCAGCTCCCAGGTTGCGAAGATGACCTCTTCCCGACCGCAGTCCCTCCGAGATATTCCAATCAGGACCGCGCCCCGGGCCTGCGCGCCCTCGGCCCGCCCTGCGGTCCGCGATCCGCAGCGCCGGGCCACCCCTCGCCGGGCCGCCTGCCCAGTCCCGGCTCCGGCGGAGGAAATTCTTCCCCGGCAGCCCGGGGCTTGCCTCACGTGACCGGCCCAGGCGGCGGCTTCCAGGGAGAGTTTAAAGGTTACGGAGGAAATTAGCACGGACACAGTCCCCGGTCCCCTCCGCGGGGCGCGCCCCGTTTCCCCCGCAGCTCGGACGGCCGCTGTCAGCGCGTCGATCAGAGCCCTCTCCCCGGGAAGGGCAGACAGGGTCCAGAGTAAATATGAAGTCACTTTTGTAGAACATAAACACAAACCCCAGCCGGGGTTCTACTAAGCTCTCACTTTGTCAACAAGTCCTCGCAGCCCGGGAAGTCCAGGGCAGACCCAAAGGGAGAGAATGCCCCCGAGAAAGGGGAGAGAAAATACATGTATAAAAACTCACAGGGAGCCTTGCACGCCCCTCCCTGTGCAACCCTCCTGCCCCCACCGCCGAGCCCAGCGTCTCCAGACAGAAGGGCAGGCCTGCCCGCGTCGGGGTGAGCTGGGGAGGGTCCCCGCCTTCTCCCGTAGTGCGATCCCCGCCACTCTGTCCCCCACTCCCCTCCGCAGCTCTAAAGCAGTGTTGGCCACAGAGTTCCGAGGCGATCGCGGCCCGCTGGGCCCGGGGGAGAGCAAAGGGCAGGGATCCGCAGATGCAACACCCGCACCCCGGGCCCCGCGCCGCCCTTCTCCGGGGTCCCGCGCGGGCTCCGGGCCTGGCTCCCCGGAGCCTGGCTCCCCGGCCGCCGCGATCCACCAGGCAGGCTCGCCCGCTTCTCCGCCGCCCTCACTCGGGCTCACTTTTCCCGAATTGCTCCCCCAACCGGCAAAACTTTCTATTTCCCTAAACACAGGAGCGCGCGCGCGCGCGCCCTCACCCCCCCCCCCCCGCGCTCTCTCTCTAGCTCTCTCGCTCCCTCTCTGACGTCTTTTGCGCATTTCCTGCATTAGAGGGAGGGAGACTCGCTCGCACACCGACGGAGGGGAGAAGGGACCGAGGGGTAGCGCCGCCGGCGGGTGGCGAGCGAGCAGCAGCCGAGCGCGGGGCCGCGGAGAGCGCGGCGGGCGGGCGGGCGCCGGCGCCCGGGAGGTGGGGCCGCGCGGAGTCGCAGTCCCGGCCCCGCCGCCGCGCCGCGCACCGCCGGAGCCGGCCTGCGCCCCTCGCCCCGAGCAGCGGCCACCCCGGCTCCGAGACCGCCCGCGCCCATGGCAGATTCCGGGCTCCTGGCGCCTCCCGATCGCCGATCGCATCGCGGCGGCGCTGCTTCGTCCTAGAGGCGGCGGCCAGGCTGGCGGTGGGGCTTGTGGATTTATTAAAAAAAAAAAAAAATTGGGCTTCGAGAAGAACCATTTCCTTTCGACATGCATCCCTCCGGATAGACTGCACATCCCTCGGTCCATCCCCCGCCCCGCGCGGCCAGAGGCGGGCGCTGGGTGTGCGAAGAGGATCCGGGTTGAAATCTGCGCCCCCGGTTGGTTTTCGTCCCCGCCCCGCCGCCCCCTCGCCCTCCCGGAGCCCAAATTTCCCGGGGATCATGTTTCCCAAAGGTAGGTAAGCGCCCGGCGCGGCGCCCGCTCCCCGCAGCCCGGACCGGGAGAGCCGGCGAGGCGGCGAGACAGCCCCCGCCGCTGGCAGAGGAGCCCACAGCTCCGCTCTGCTTCTGGAGGTGCCTCCGGTGGCAGGGGGGGAGAGGCTTGTTCCAAACACGGACGTCCCCCAGCTCCCCCCCCCCCCCCCCCTGTTTTCCGTTAGGAACCCGGCGAGGAAATCCATGCACTCCCTGAGGATCGCCCGCGCCCGGGCGCAGCGCTCCGAGGTGTAGGCAGAGAGCGGGGTGGGGCGAGAGGGACCACGGAGCCCCCCGCGGCTCCCGACACCGGGGGCGCGTCGGTTCTTCCTCCTGCCCCCGGGGCGGACGGAGTGACCCCGGCCCCGCTCCACGCCCCGACCATGGTCGTGTTCAATGGCCTTCTGAAAATCAAAATCTGCGAGGCTGTGAGCCTGAAGCCCACCGCCTGGTCGCTGCGCCATGCCGTGGGGCTCCGGCCGCAGACGTTCCTCCTGGACCCTTACATCGCCCTCAACGTGGACGACTCGCGCATCGGCCAGACGGCCACCAAGCAGAAGACCAACAGCCCGGCCTGGCACGACGAGTTCGTCACCGACGTGTGCAACGGGCGCAAGATCGAGCTGGCCGTCTTCCACGATGCCCCCATCGGCTACGACGACTTCGTGGCCAACTGCACCATCCAGTTCGAGGAGCTGCTGCAGAACGGGAGCCGCCACTTTGAGGACTGGGTGAGTCTGGCGCCTCCCTGGGTCCAGGAGCCCAGCTATGTGGTCCGGGGGGTGTTGGTTAGGGGTGTGAAGGGGCGGCTCAGGGCCTTGGCATTGGTCATAGGGTGCAGGGACTTAACTGTCACCTGAAGTGGTGTGTGTGTGTGTGTGTGTGTGTGTACCTAAGTCTCAGTTTCCTTGGAGAAAAGCACCGTCTACTTGGTCGGTGGGGAGAGGCAGTAGGCATTGGAGTAAAGGAGAAGAGACTTGGGAAGAGGGTCTGGCTCTTTGGCCCTCTCCAGCCAGCGGGTGCTTCAGGGAACTCGCAAGCTGAGAGAGCCCTGAGCCAGCGCCTGAAGGTTGGCTGGCGCCTTCCGCAGGCGCGTGGTGGGCTGGCTGTGTGTGTGAGTGTGAGTGTGTGTGGGTGGGTTCCTCTGTCCTTGGAGAGAGGCACGTGGAGCCCTAGACTGAAGGCTTCTTGCACGTCCTGGCTTTGTCCTGCTTCGCCGAGCCTGGAGCTGCTTTATTTTTTCCTCCGGAGGAAGCCAGCTTGTTTCTATTCTGTGGCCTGGTGGGTAGCTCATCTTCGGAAGGATGTAACAGGGAGAAAAATGTGTTCTCCTCTAGGATGCCACCTCCAGGGTGGAGGAAACATCAGCCCAGCTTGTTTTGCCCAACTCATGATCTCTCCGTCCAGAATGGGTGTTATATTAAAAAAAAAAAAATGGTTCTGCTTGCGAGTAATTGAAAAAAAATCAGTGCTTTGAAACCTACTTACAGTTTCCCTGTTTTGATTTTCAAGATATGTGGGATGAGATGCCATTTCTAAGTCTGAGATTGAGTTAATTGATTACACTGTCAAAATATTAGGGGCTGGCAAATAGGCCTGGTCCATGGACTAGATAAGCTAAGTTCCTTCAGTACCCAGAGAAGCAGGGAGAACACAGCCTTGCTTTACCCGTTCTAGGAGGGATAGTGTTAAAAGAGGAAGTACATTTCTGTATTTTTAGAAATTCTTGTTACCTGTTTCCACCAAGAGCAGGTGGGGCGCTGGGTGTATATGTTTTTAGGGTTCTTTGATCTACACAGAAGGGAAGTCTCTGCTCGGAGTGAGATGGAGAGAAATCACCTTCTAATTACTGAGAACAAATACTTCATGATTGTCCTAGGGTCAGAGGTTGCACATGAATCACCTTGGCAGATCACCTCATATATATATATATATATATATATATATATATATATATATTATTTATTTATTTATTTTTTTATTTTTTATTTTTTCAAGGCAGTGGACTTTTAGGGGAAAATCAGAAAAAGCCTCTTCTCTTTATCCTCAGGGCTGTGGTGTGGGCTGCCCGAAACCATGGTTACGGACCTTGCAGGGAAGCTCCACCACACCACGCCAAGTACATCCCTGGGTGATTTGTGACTTAACACTTTGGGAAGCAGGCAAACCTTGGTGGAATCCCAAAGGATGCAGCGCCATTCCATTCCACAATGCCCCGTACCTTTGCCTCCCTCCCATCACCTGAGTCTCCACTCATTCCCCATGTCCTTTCCACACATGCCTGTCAGTACTTTTACTCATGAAAGCAGCATGTGTCTGAGGGGGACATGAGGGGATAAGTAATTTCAGAGCCAGACCTTTGTACTAAACAACTATGCTTCTGAAGTTGTTGTTTTTAGGATAGGAAGGAGAAACACACACACACACACACACACACACACACACACACACAAACAAAAAAACAAAAAAAAAAACATGACTATGGTTGTGAGGACTTGGGGCCTTTGGCTTTGTATGCAGAGGAGGGAGCTTGAGGGGAGGCAGAGCTGGAGGTCCGCTTTTACTCAGAGAACAGGTCTTGGTTGGAGGGGGAGATAGATATCTGAGTGCCTCTGGTGGTGCTTTGCCGGGGCCCACCCAAACCCTGGGCACAGCAGGGCACCATTCCCACTTCCAAGCACCTCCAGTGAAGCCTACAGTGGCCAGTAGTCTTGCTTGGTTATCTTTCTCTAAGTTTCTCAAATTCATGTTGGATTTGGCCTTAGACCAGGTCACCTAGGGCCCTGGCACGTTTTACAGACAAGGACATTGCGTCCCAGAGAAGCTGAGTGGTACCCGAGGTAACATGACAGGCAAAGGGGGGGGGGGGAGAGGTTGGAGGTAAGGCTCACATCTCCTCTTGCTCACCCCTGTCTGGTGGAGAACTGAGCCTCCCCTGCTCTGTTTTCCCTGCAGATAACGTGTGCCGTGTCCCTGAACAGTTTTATTGAACATGATAATTTAAAGAGCTTTCAAAATCATTATCTCATGATCTCTTTCGCCTTATAGCAAGTGTGAATTAAGTATGGCAGGTATTAGTTTTAAAGGAACTTGAGGTACAGAAAGGCTGAAGGCATCGGAGAACGAGGCAAGAAGTGGAGCTGGCCGAAACCGGTTTGGCTCAGTGGTAGAGCGTCGGTCTGCGGACTGAAGGGTCCCAGGTTCGATTCAGGTCAGGGGCATGTACGTTGGTTGTGGACACGTACCACAAGAGGCAGCTGGTCTATGTTTCTCTCTCATCGATGTTTCTAGCTCTCTATCTCTCTCCCTTCCTCTCTGTAAAGAAATCAATAAAATATATTAAAAAAAAAAAAAAAAGAAGTGGAGCTGGTTCTCTTTGCTTATCTAGTGTTGTTTTCACTGGAAGAGGCTGTGGCCACCCTGGTGGACATGCACCAGCAGAGGTGATTGGCCCTTGGAAACAGCCAAGTTGCACGTGGGCTGAGTAAGGTCACCTTTCCCATTCCCTTCAGCCAGGGCACCACTTACAGAATCACACCTTCAGGTAGAATTCCCCGGGCCCAGGCCTTGGCGCTCTTTACCTGGCAGTGATGAAGAGATACACCTTTTTCAGGAGTGGCTAAGAACTCTGAGGGGGAGCTGGAGCTGCACGATGGATTCGTCTATATTCGCCGTTTGTTGCTCAGATTCAGCCAGGGAAGGTTAGCACTCTAATCCAGAGGTAAAAGAGACGATGGCTGACTCTCTCTAGGGGCTTCCATACAACCAGGCAAACAGCAATAAGGTTCTAAATGAATATTTGAAGGAATTCAGAAAAGGAGTAGGCTAGGAGAGCTGGAAGGATCAGGAGGGTTCCTGAAAGGAGGCATGTGTTGGGTGTGAAATGTGGGTGACATTGAAAGAGGTATTTTATAAGAGGAGGCAGTGTGTCATGGGCACGGACACAGCTGGAATAAAAGCGGAGGAGGCCTGTGGTCAGCCTCGGAGAACAGAGTAGGAGGTGCCTGTCAGAAAAGGAGTGGGCAGGGTCACATTCCCTAAACGGAAGACTTATTATCTGGGTACTTGCCCGCGCTATTATTTACGTAATAGTTTTCAACATTAATTCTTGACTTTCCACTTGAGCCCCAGTCATCATGAAATCATAGGTTTGGATGCTGTTGTTAGGACTTTCCTTCATTTGCATGGAAATAAATACATGGCCTCTGAAATAAAAAGAAAAGAAGTTCATCTCAGGTACCTCTTCATTTCTGATATGGGGTATGCATTTTGGAAATATTGGAATAGGAGGGAGTTTAGACAACCAGGTGCGTTCCAACGTGTTTAAAAGCCAGGCTGAGATCATGAATCTTCAGATAACGGGAGACGCATCAGCTGTGATGACCAAGGGGGTTCTTGAGAGAAAGATTATCCCGAAGACATTGGAGGATTTCACTTGTGCTTGAAGCAGAATCCCAGTAAATATTGTAGCTATAGCTCGGTTTTCCAAGAACAAGATAATAACGCTACTCAGAATTCGGTGTGCAAATACAGACCCTCCTGCCCACCTCCGGAGCTGTACATTCTGTGGCTGACGGTGAGTGCTAGGAGTCCTCATTGTGAACAAGCTGACCTCAAGGTTTGGCTCAGAAGATGCTTTGGGAAACCCTGGGCCAGAATAGCTCCAGGTAATAAATGTATCTAGATTTTGTACAGAAATGTCCTGAAATTTCCTAGTAGTCCTTTGTAAGTCCAAAAGCAGTATTTATAAGGGTAATTGTATAAACTAGAAATGTGGGGATTCATGTTAGAATCAGAGGCTAGAGGGAGCTACATTAGCATTGAGGACAGATGGTGGGGAGCACAATAGATGGCAGAGAGTGTGGATGAAGCATTCAGGTTGACAGTTGGCTGGTCCCAGCTGGCTGGTCCCCTACACACTCAGGAATTTTTTGTTTTTAAAATATATTTTATTGATTTTTTAACAGAGGAAGAAAGAGGGATAGAGAGCTAGAAGAATCCATGAGGGAGAAACATCGATCAGCTGCTTCCTTCACACTCCCTACTGGGTATGTGCCAACAACCAAGGTACATGCCCCCGACTGGAATCGAACCCGGGACCCTTGAGTCCGCAGGCTGACGCTCTCTTTATCCACTGAGCCAAACCAGTTAAGGCCACACTCAAGAGTTTGCTCTACAGTTTAAATAGTCTACTTAGGTCTGTGTACCGAGCTCAGTTCCCTATTCCCTCACGCCCTTGCACCATCCCTGCCTCTGAAAACATCTTTGCTTAGGATCACTCTCTTGGTTTATCCTGTAGAAGAGGTGCTGAGCTACTCATAATGCAGAGGTAATGACAAAGTCATCTTTAAAACATTAAAAAAAAATTATTTCAGAGAGGAAGGGAAAGGGAGAGATAGAAACATCAATGACTAGAGAGAATCCTTGATCAGCTGCCTCCCGCACACCCCACACTGGGGATCAAGCCCACAAGCCAGGTATGTGCCCTGAGTAGGAATCAAACTTCCTGGTTCATGAGTTGACACGCAGCCACTGGCCAAAGTCATCTTTTGAGAGTCGGCTCAGCAGAGCGCTTACAGGCAGAGCTCTGGAGACAGGATGTGTAGGTTTGAATCCCATCAATCTTTCGTGACCTTGAGTGAACCGTTTAACCTGCGCTTCTGTTTTTTCCTCTGTACAAAGTGGGTGACAATAAAAATAACTCGTTAAAATAAAATGGGGCTGTTGTGGG